GTGATTAATTTACAGCATTAAGACCTATTGGTACTTCATGTGAGTTTACTCAGCAGTGTGCAAGCTCCATGGAAGGTTTGTCAATTTGTGAATTAGGTATCTGCAGATGTTTGCCAGGTGCATTTGCTAGTGGTATTGGTTGTGAGAGAAATACTTGTAAGTTCATTTGGTTTAATTTTAATACTCTTTTTGGAACTTTCAATTACAAAGTTTAAAATTTTTAGGTTTTTCTGATTAACAAAATTATGCAATATCATAATACAGCTAGCTTTGTATTGAGTGCTACAATTGCTGCAGCGTCTACTTTCTTGATTCCACCACAATCAAAATAATCACTGCTAATTTTTTTTCAGATGTGCTATTGAATGATGCCGAACAATTACCAATAAATAATAAGCTAACAAATGAATCCAAAAAGATTCCGAAGAATTAATAATAGAGAAGAAATAATATGCAAAACTACTTGCCTCTAATATTTTTAATCGTTTATTATATTAACTTATTAATATGATTGATTACAAAGCAACAAGTCGCAGTCGACAACTATGTTATTTTAATTTCAGCACTGATCAGAAAGTGAGCAATTTTGTTTGTCGTTAATTTGATTACTACTGATAACTACAAAGAAGAAGGTTGATTGTTTGCATTTTTAATCGTTTCATACAAATACTTTTCGTCGCAAAATGTATCTATAATCTTTTTCCAAGCAACTGCATTTGAGTGACTCACTGAAACTGATTTTCTGAAGATATAAATTATCAAATTCATTATATAAGAAAAATTTTATTAGCAAAGATGGATTATTGTCATAATTTATATTTTCAATTTCCATCAAATGAAGTTATTTTTTTAGAAAGTTTGACACAATGATGGATATAGCAAAAATGCAATGCTTTGCTATCACTTTTTTATTTTTGTGTGTTTTAGCAAAAACTTTGTCATATCATATCACCTCCGCTCTTTTGAAAAGCTACGTGGTATTGCTATAAATTGTACTCTCTGATCAGAGATTGTATTATTTTTATATGTATTCAATTTCATGTTCATATCAGATATCTACTAAATGATTTCATTATTAATTTATATTATCAAGTAAAGGTCAAAATAATTCTATTGTGTTACTTTTTTCGACAAAATTAAGGAATGTAAGAATAATACAGTCTAAATCAAGTACTGTCACAAAATTATTAATCGTCATGGAATTAACATGAAATTTATTAATTATTGCAAATTTTTGATTACAACTACGGAAGAGATGTTTTATCATTTCAAGAGATGTTTTATCAAATGCAGATTATCGAATTAGTTCTACCTTTTCTCGGTAAATACTTTTTATATTTGTGAGCAAGGTTTTTTTCATGGAAAAATCCGCATAAATGAATATATAAATGCATATCAATTTGTTTCAAGCTCAATCAAAAATGCAGTAAAAAAGAAAAAATTCAAGTGAGGTTCACGTAAGTTCCTTCACAAAATTTAAAGGCTAGAAAATGACGCCATTATAAAATTGTAATTATCATGCAAGTTTCCGAACAAATTCTTCACTTAAATTTTGTGTTAGCAGGAGTGGATTCAAGCTGTAATCACAACTTCAACAGTAATGTTTTGATGGCTAAAAATATTTAGACGGATTATAGTATTAAGACCTGACTCGTTCTGTGAATAAGAAGAATTATGAGATTGACTGTTGTAGTATGGAGAAATAGTTCATTAAGATAAGTATAAAGCATCATACTACATTCAAATCAAAGTTATTACTTCCGATTGACTTATATTTTTTCACATATTGTTATGAGAGTGGTAAATTAAAAATTCTTACTAGGAAATATTCAGATAAATAAATCACTTCATCCACAAGCAAAAAGAGAGACAAATGAATAAAAAAAATATTTGCACTGACATTTTGAAGTTAATAAGTGTGTCGGTTTAATTCTAAAATTAATTATGATTTAGTTGGAAAAGGAGGGCAGGTGATATTTCTTGAGATCAAATACTCCCTCTAATTATTATTGAAACTGAATTAATATGAAATCATTAGACCTTCATTATTTCCTTTCACAGTTCTGTTAGATTCTCAGACTTCATTTATCCGTTAACGTTTAGCATTTTTGTTAACAAGTAGTATAGCGAAATTTAATATTCAAATTTTTCATTATTAATTCAAAATTTGGTTTAGATTAGCCAAAAATTACGAGGAAATTATTTACTGAGATGAAGTGATCACACGTAAAAAGACTTTAAAAACTGTAAAATTGAATTGCAAAACAATTATATACAATGTTTACTTCGTTATGTATGTGGTAAAAAATGTATTAATACTCCAAAAGTTTGCGTATATGTTATTTATTTGAATGATAAAGTAAAAATACTAACAAAAATAACGACAACGATATTCTTGTAGGTAATTAATGACAATAATAGTGATAATAATAATAATTAATAATAGTAATAACAACTAATAATAATTATTATTATTATTTATTTATTAATAATAATATTAATACAATAATGACAGTTTACAGTAAGTCACATTTAATAAATTTTAAGTCAACAGAAGTTAAAAAGTTATGAGCAACTCTTCGATTAAAGATATAAATTAAATTTACAGTTATTTTATTGACGTTAATGAACAAATAAGATTTTTAGAAAAAAATTCTTTTTTAACAGTCGAAGTGAAATTGATTTATTATTAGTAAAACTATAGTATTAGTAATGACAAGACTGTGAGGTCAAAGTGTGTCAAAATGTGGGCCTTGCCTGATTCAATTCGAAGCTTTCTATAAACTTATCATTCTCTTCGTCACATTCAAAAGTATTAAGAAATAAGAGTTTTGAGTTTTATACTGTCAAAATATCAATTTTAGATTGGTGAAAATATCAATGAATCGTCCCGTTAGCATGCTCTCATCTATACTTCCAGTCCTCTTATACGTAGTAAGCCAACTTTGGGTCGTGAATGACGCATTACCTTATATCCAGCTCTGCGATCAATATCCGTTTTATCCACCTTGCAGATTTCAGCTATCATCAGGTCCACATAAACCAGTTCATGCGTTTAAAATTCCATTTCATATGCTTCATTCTACATTAATCTAAAAATTAGTTTTCATCTTAGCATTTTGCGGAAATAAAATTTTTTGTAATTGCTCATAGTAGCGTTTTCCTGCTAATTATTTTCCTTTATTTGTGATTATTCAATAGCACAGTACTAAAAAGCTATCCAATTTCATTTCTTTCCAGTAAATCGTTTATTCGATTTGACAACCATTGAACTTGGGTGAAACAATGTCACAGACTCTAAAAAATATTTCATGAAGTATATAATAAGTTTGGTTATTTATGCTGATTTTAGGCGAATTTGTGCAGTTCTTTTGTGGAGATGAATACATTTTCATTATTTTTGCAAAAAAAAAAAAAAAAAAAAAA